CTTCTCCATCCATCATCCATTTGCTCAAGCCAAAACCTTGGCATCCCCCTTAACTTCTCCTTTTCCCTCATCCCTAACGCTCAAGTCATTAACGGTCTTTTTTGGCTATGTGGATCCCAAGTCCATCTCCTTCTCTCCATCACCACTCTCCACTCTTGTCCTGTTCACTGTCTCCCACCTGGACCATGGAGCACAGCAGTCTCTGGACTGTTTCCTCTTAGTGGTTCTCTAGTAATGGTTCTCTCTTACTGATCTCTGAACTATTCCATCCTTAACCCTCTGTAATCCGTTCTTCATACAGCAGACAGAATGAGCCTTTAGAAACTGAAAACAGATCAAGTTATTTTCCTGCTAAAAACTCACCAGTGGCTTTCAATGCGTGCTCTATAAAATCACAAGAGTGAGGTTTCCATCTCTAAATTACTATATTATTTCCTATATGATCTGGTGTAAACCTGCTTCCATCCTCTGGGCCTCAGTTTCAACTGGGCCTCAGGGGCTGTTGCGTTGGGATGGGGGGTGGAGAGGACAAGGAGCTTCCACCCCCATCTCACCTGCTTTTTTCTGATGCGTAGATTGAGGCTCCACGCACGACTTCATGACTTGAGTTGAGATGTCTTATCTATGAAGAACACAGTGAATAAATTTCATATACAATTTTTCCTCTGCAACCTTACCACAGAATCCCCTGTCCCTTTTTTTCTTTCTAACTCCCACCACAGTCACCACTCCATCAGTGGTAATAGTTTTCCCTAATAACGTTTGTGCGTGTGCGTGTGTGTGTACGGGTCCTTAAAAGAGGCTTCTAAAAATGTGTAAGGTTAGGATTTTTTTTTGTAAAATTCTGGACTGAAAAGAGCATGACTTGAAGTATACCGTAAAAAAAACGTAGAGGTTTGCAATCCTATTCTGGATGCTAATAGTGATGCTTTCATCTCATTAGCCAATATCCCAAGGCAAAATATACTCTTGCCACAAGGTTTATGATTAACAAGGATGGGTAAAAATTCATATTTCAAAAGTCTTCTCTTTAGTAGGCTTCTTCTCTTCAGTGGGCTTCTTGTGCACTTCAACCAGGACTCCTCAGAGTGTCTGATTTTTTTCATCGTCCAGTGTGGACCGAATGTTTGTATGAGGAAACTCTGCCACTTTCTTTGTCTTCACTGGAGCTGGGATGGTTGGAATTGTCCTCTATTCCTGGTTTCCGGTGAGAATGTTAAACCCTCATGTCCATTTGGTGGGAATTTAACTAAATTAGAGAGAGTTATCTGTAAATCCACAGAATTGGACCCCTGTTAACTATGCAGTTTTTCAGTGCCCAGGAAGCAATCCAGAGGCTTGGTGAGGAATGGCCTGCTAACCCTTCTGAGGGTTGGGACTCTCCTTCCCTCTGGGTTCCTGTCTTAGGCTGAGTTCTCTAGAGAAGCTAAACCAGTAAAGTATACAAATATACAGAGAGACAGACTTATATCAAGAGAATGGCTCAGGCAATTGTAGAGGCTCGAATATCCCAAGTCCATGGATCAGGATAGAGGCTTCTCCATATTCACATAGCCGCAGGGGCTAGTGAACCCAAGATCCACAGGTTGGAGAGCAGGTCTCTTGCTCACAGTCAGTGAAGATCGACGAATCCCAAGAATGGCAGGCAAGACCACAAGATTTCTCTCGATTCACGTAGCTGCAGGGGCTGGTGGACCCAAGATTGGCAGGACAGAGAGCAGGGCTCCCACTTGCAGGCTGTGAAGATGGACGAATGCTAAGATAGGCAGATAAGCTGATAGCTCAAGTCACAAGAACCGGAGGTCAGATGAAGAGGAGGCAGCCCCAGGACCGTGAGCCAGCAAAGCCAGAACTTCTGTTTATTCGGATGCAGGCCGCGCCCCTAAGGAAACTCCCTTTAAACTGATTGGCTACTCACAGTAGATTGCATCGTGGGAGTGATCACATATAAACACTGAGAATCATGGCCCAGCCAAGTCGACACACAATCTTAACCATCACAGTTCCTCACTAGCACCACACGTGACAAGTGACCATAGACGTGAACAAGGGAGGATTCAGATCGAAACATTTTTTTTAATGGAATATCTAATGGTTTCTTCCCACATCTCAGTGTACTGTCCTGGGCATCCTGCAACTGACTACCTTGGAGACCACTGCATCCACCTCCATCCTGTAGTATGGCTGCTTTTCCTTCCTCCTGCTTGTGGAAAGATGGAAAGCTCCTCTCCTAAGTCTCCTTCCCTCCCCTCCCGCAGCGACACAGTGCCCTCTCCTTGACCCTTCTTCCAAGAACCAATGTCCACCCCCAGGAGGCAAGGAGGGGTGGCCCTGAGCAGGAAAAGAATCACCGTCCACCTCCAGGAGCTGGGGAGGTGGTAGCCTTAGCAGGAGAAAACAAAACTCCCTTAAGCAGAAGAGGATGAAGGGCTGCATGTGAATGATCTTCCCTTGTCACACAGGCAACCTATCTTGGTTGGATTGCTAGAGGTTCAAGCCAGTCAATTGACTACCTCCTGACACAGCCACTACTGTCTGTTCAGTCTCCTGCACCTCAGGATAACATGGAATAGCTTTGCCCTTTTAACATGGGAGAGAAGAATGGACTTTAAGGAAAGATATAATCTAAATTAAACTTGGACCTCAATTAGACACGTATGCCTGGTAGCAACACTTCTGTTTCTACCGTGGTAGAAAGACAGTGGAGCCCTGGTGGCACAGTGGTTAAGATCTACGGCTGGTAACCAAAAGGTCGGTGGTTTGAATCCACCAGCTGCTTCTACTCTGTCCTATAGGGTTGCTATCAGTCGGAATAGACTCAATGGCAACTAACGGGTAGAAAGAAGATGGCACTTGGAGACTGTGGTGAGATGAGTTTCTTTGTACTCTTTTGCCTTGTTTGTTGGAAAACAGCTTGAGAGATTTTCCCCTTAAGCCCTGAAGAGTGAACTTTGCCCTTGTTTTGTACCCCAAGGGTTTGTTACTTTTGTTCAGGTTGACTGACATTTCCTGGGTAAGCTGTAAACAACTTGTGGTTTGATCAGTTTTTGTCTGGTCCTGGGATGCAGCCTGCCCTGTGATTGGTATGCATCTTGCAGGGATTGGTCAATACACTATACAAATGAAGTGTCTGTAGCCTGCTATGCAAATGAATTGTCTGTGGCCTACCAAGAGAGGACTGGTCAGTTCGTGGCCCTGGTGGGAGGGCCATGCCTTGAAATTGATAAGGAGTTTGTGTATCTATATATGCAGCTAACTCCGTAGAAGTTTTTTAGACAGAAAGCAGCAGAAAGACAGGAAGCAGACAGAAGCCAAAGGAAGAAACATTAGGGAAGAGAGAAAAAGCAGAGAAAGGAGGCAAGGAACCTCCTTGAAGAACTGTAACACGAGTCAAGGGCTGTAACACTGAAGACACTGACAGCCTCAGAAGCAGCCCAGCAGCAGAGCCAGTGGTGACAGGCTCTGAGGGACACTGCAGCAGAGCCAGTGGAGACAGATGTCAGGGCCAAGAGGAGCCTATCCTGAGGGGGCCGAGAGGAGGCCTGTCCTTAGGGGGCTGAGAGGAGGCCTCCATGGCTGACAGGGGCTGTGCACGGCAGAGAGAAGGGCCTGCTTGCTTGCATGTCCAAGGGAGCTGAGAGAGCTGTCCTGCACTGAAGAAGGGACAGATGTGCTCTCCACTTCAGGGAAGCCTTCCAGAGTTTGCCTACGTGCTTCCTGATCCTGATCCCAAGATGTAACCTGTTGATCCTAATCCTGAGTTGTACCCTGTTACTTCCTTAATAAACCACTTAACTGTGAGTATGGTCTGTGAGTTCTGTGTGGCCATTGCAATGAGTTATTGAACCCAGCAGAGAAGGAGAGAATGTCATGGGGGCGGGGGAATGGCTGGTAACATAATTGGTGAAGATTTCGGAAAGTAGAGGAATGTCTGTCCTCCTCCTCATAGGAATTGGCTTTGTGCTGCTGGTGATTCTTCTCCCCAAGGAACCTAGATGAGTTCTGCTGCTACTACAATGAACCTGAGACCCTTTCCAGCTGTTAATGCCCACGTACCAGTGTGTCTAATTCCCAAGCTGTCCAGACACAGTGAAAGGCTTATTTTTTTATAGCAATATAATTCACATACCACAAAATTCAAGCTTTTAGTGTACAACTGTGGTTTTTAGTATATTCATAAGACTGTTCAACCATCATCATCATCTAATTCCTGAACATTATCACATGTCAAAAAGTCACTTCCCATTTTCCCCCAACTCCTCTCGCCTCAGCTCCTGGCAACCACAAATCTACTTTCTGGCTCTCTGGTCTTTCCTAGTCTGAATACATCATATAAATGTCATCAACAGTATGTGGTGTTTTGTGACTAGCGTGAAGCACTCAGCTACTAATCGAAAGGTTGGTGGTTCAAATCCACCCAGAGGCACCTCAGAAGAAAGGCCTGGTGATATACCTCCAAAAGATCACAGCGATTGAAAACCCTAGAGAGCACAGTTCTCTTTTGACAAACATGGGGTTGTCATGAGTGGAAATTGACTCGATGACAACTTTTTGTTGTTTATTTGTTTCTCTCCTTTAGTATAATGTTGTCAAGATTCCTCCATGTTGTAGCATGTATCAGGACATCATTACTTTTTATGGCTGATAACTTTCCATGTATGGATATACCACATTTTGTTTATGCATCAATTGATGTATATTTGGGTTGTTAGCACTTTTTGGCTATTATGAATAATGCTACTACAAACATTCATGCAAATATTTTGGAGTGAAAAGCAAATTGGACATTTATTGCTTTTCATCCTTTGATATTATGAACTCTATTATGTTTGTGAGCTTGCTGTTTCCTTAGCCCATTATCCTCATACACTTTTTGCTCTCTGCCAAAGTGTACACCCCAACACCCTCATGCCTAAGAGGAGATCCTCCAGAGGTTACTGTGATATGCACCTTCCAAAAACAAATGGAGATGATTCGTTTCTCCAGGAGGCAACAGCCTCTTCTCAGTACACTCCTGGCTCCCTGGGGAGAGGACCTCCCACTCCCTGGTGCTTCTGCTACTCCCCTTCCTGCTTTTCACCATGACCTCCCACCCTGCATCTCCTACCACAACTACCGCTAACCCTTGCCCCTGTCATAATCGAAAACCACTAATCTTCACATATACCCTATCGGTTCATAGCCTCCAACAACATAACTGCTGGACCTGCCAGCTTGACACGAGAGATCCGCCAAGATATTATTGTCATACTTTCAACACACTTTACAACTCCATGAAGATATTGTTAGAGACCATGAAAACTTCCGATTTCTTTTCTTGGCTAATGCCATATGTATGAACGGGAAAATTATGGGCCAGCTTACAAAGGCACTTGACATCTCTAAAGCTCTGTTCTTTCATCTCTAGAATGGGGATGCTTTCTGAGGACTAACGGGGATTATGCTCTTAATACGGTGAGACCCATGATTACTTAGCTGATACAATGAGCTGTAAGGAGGGACAGACAGTCAGAGGGAGCAAAAAGACTGATGGTGCCACACGTAACAAGAAGGTATGAAGAGGTTTGGTACAAGTAGTCCCCGACTTATGATGGGGCTCCCTTCTGATACCTCTGTCGTAAGCTGAATACTTTTATTTTTAGTTTTCACAATTATTGCCTTTATTATCAATATCTTTATAAATCCAGTCTTTATTTGTATTTGGGGGTTGGCATGACTTCTTTTGCTAGACATATTATTGGGGGTATAAGCCGTGCAGGTGCTACAGTTGGAGAAACTTGAACAACTCAGCTTCAAATTAACAACCGATGCTTCTAATGGTATGAAACGCTGAATAAGATCACGCTGTAAGCCTGGTCTACAATGAAGTCAGTGTCAGTGTCATAACAAAGAACTTGGAGTCGGAACTGCTGTCAGGCATGTGCACAGTCCAATTGTCTTCTGTTGTTAGAGTTGAACATTGCATAACTTCCTAACCATTCTGACTCCTGACACACACAACGACTTCATTGTAAACCAGGCCATAGCCTGCTATATGGCAGTGTTTTGAACAGAAAATCATAAAATTGAACATCTGCAAGTGAACATTTGAGACTAACATCAGCAAATTACTCACTGCAACATTATATGTAGTACATGTTACTAATGATAAGATGTACAAAAAAACCAACAAGCAATGGATGGTCATAAGTGCAGTTCTTCATAACTCAAATGCATTATAAGTCGGGGACTACCTGTACTCACATAATGAGACTTCTTGGGGAATGAAGTGTGGCTCCCAAACAAATCTGAAAATGGCTTGACAGAGCAGAGGAATGAGAATGGCTTGGGGTTTTTATGGTGGTTTTTGGGTATGGCTGAGGTTACTGTTCTCATTCGTGGTGTGAATTTCCTGGTAGCGTCAAAAAAGAACACACTGGGTGTTAAGGATTGAATTTGTGTGCCCCTAAAACATATGCTGGAATCCTAACCCCCATACCTGTGGATGTAATCCCATTTTAGAATAGGGTTTTCTTTATTATGTTAATGAGGCCATATCAGTGTAGAATGTGTCTTAAACTTAATGACTTTTGACACATAAAAAGAGCAGATTAGACACAGCTAAGTCAGCACAAATATGGGAAAGATAGACGCCACGTGGAGACAGAGAAACACTGGGGCTAGAGAAACTGCAACAAGTATCTTCCCCTAGAGCTGACAGAAGAGCCTTCCCCTAGAGCCAGTGTCCTGATTCTAGTCTCTTAAACTATGAGAAAATAAATTTCTGTTCTTTAAAGCTCCCCACTTGTGGTATTTCCGTTATAGGAGCACTAAGAAACTAAGACACCGGGGCTTTCTTATCAGCTTGTACAGATGTAGCGCAGAAGGGGAAGAGGGAAGGGTGAGGCCTAAAAGGCAGTCAAACATCTAAAATGGAGTCAGACTCTAATACGACATGGAAGCTAAAGGACAGACTCTAGGAGATCATTGTACCAAACAAGCAGCCATAGCCAGTGCAGCAGCTTTATTCAGCTCTCTCTCTGCCGCGTTCCTAGCAGCAGCTTTCTGCCCTCACCATTGACTCTGCCTCAGGGTCTCTCCCAGACCTGTAGCTGCTGACTCTGCTGCAGGGCCCCTTCCGGGCCTCTCCCTGTCTTCAGTGTTACAGCCCTTGACGTGTGTTACAGCTCTTTTAGGAGGTTCCTCACCTCTTCTTTCCCTGCTTCTTCTTTCTTCTCTCTTCTTGCCTCTCTGGTCTTTTCTCCTTTACTTCTTTCTGAAACCTCTGTGGGGCTGGCTGAATATATAAGCAAACTCCTTGTCAGTTTCAAGGTATGGCCCTCCCAGCAGGGCCACGAACTGGCCAATCCCCTCAGTGGACCATAGTGACTTCATTTGCATAGTCTATGTTGTTGTTAAGTGCCCTGTTATTGGTTCTGACTCAGAGAAGAACACGTTCGGCATTTTTCAAGCTGAAAGAACTGAAGAAAAAATTCAAGCCTCAAGTTGCAATAGTGAAGGATTCTATGGGGAAAATATTAAATGACACACAAAGCTTCAAAAGAAGATGGAAGAAATATACAGAGTCACTGTAGCAAAAAGAACAGGTCAACATTCAGACATTTCAGGACGTAGCATATGATTAAGAACTGACGGTACTGAGGAAGAGGTCCAAGCTGCACTGAAAGCACTGGTGAAAAACAAGGCTTCAGGAATTGACGGAATACAGATTGAGATGTTTCAACAAACAGATACAGCACTGGAAGTGCTCACTCATCTATGCCAAGAAATTTGGAAGACCACCACCTAGCCAACTGACTGGAAGAAATCCATATTTGTACCCATTCCAAAGAAAGGTGATCCAACAGAATGCGGAAATTATCAAACAGTATCATTAATATCACGCACAAGTAAAACAACTACATAGTACATTGACCAACTCTGCAAGGTGTGTAAAATAGACCAATCACAGGGCAGGCTGCAGCCCAAGGTCAGACAAAAATGTCAAACCATCAAGTTGTTTACAGCTTACCCAGGACATGGCAATCAACCTGGACAAAAGTAATCCTCTGGGGTAGAAAACTAGGGCAAAGACAACTCCTCAAGGCTTGAGGGGAAATCCCTCAAGCTGTTCTTCTTAAGAAGCTAGGCAAAAGGCCACATAAAGGGACTCATTCCACCACACTGGCCCACATCTCCCAGGTCAGAAGCATCGCCTCCTTCTTTGCTGTCCCGTGTGTTGGGCTGTGAGCCATCTCTATCCAAGGGGCTATTTGGCCGGTAGACTTGCGTATGCCCAAAGGCTTTGTCTTAGGCTGGCTTATCTCGAGAAGCAAAACCAGTAAAGCATACAAATGTATATACAGAGAGATTTAGATCAAGGAAATGGCTCACACAGTTGTAGAGGCTGGAACGTCCCAAATCCGTGGGTCAGGTTGGAGGCCTCTCCTGAATCATGTAGCAGCAGGGTCTGGCGAACCCGAGATTGGAAGGTCAGACTGGAGGTAAGCTGCTAGCTCAAGTCCCAAGAACCGGAGGTCAGATGAACAGGAGCCAGCTGCAAGATCCAGAGCAAGCAAAAGCTGGAGAGCATTGCCAGAAAGTTCACTTACATTCAACGAAGGCCACACCCCCAAGGAAAACTCCCTTTCAACTGAGTGGCTACTCACAGCAGATCCCATCATGGAGGTGATCACATTATATCAAATCTCATCATGGGGGTGATCACATCAGTATACGACTGCCAAACTATATCATAACTGCCAAACCATGGAGAATCATGGCCCAGCCAAACTGACACACAACCGCAATGATCACAGGCCTGTCTGTTTTCCACCAGAGGCTGGGCCCAGAAAGCCCCCTCTGAGCTTTTGCCCTAAACCCTGGGCAGCGAGCTGATGGGAAGGGGTAAGCTTCCAGCCTGTAGGGAAACACACTTGACATTCCCAGGTGGCTCTGTTGAGCTATGGTCTTGTGTGTCTGGTCCTCAGTGGAAATCCTCAGCCACTCTGGGCACTTCCTGCAGCCAGGCCTCGGCCAGGCCCTTGAGCTCTGTTAATAACCTGAATCTTGACAATGATCCCCAAGCTAAATGTGGCCATTCCTTGTTCCTCCCCAGCAGAGCAGACAGAGGCTTGGAGGTAAGCTGACTCTCCTGCAGTCAAAGAGCTCCTAAATGGCAGACCTGGATTCTGACCAAGCCCAACTCCAGCCCCTGCTGTCTCCCTCCCCAGGGCCCAGCTAGACTCCCTGCCGCCAAGCCACTGGGGATCCGTCCCAGCCTCCCTGACCTCACCCACTCCCCCAATGGCCTCATTCCTCCTTGTGGCTTAAGATGCTCCTCACCTGTTGATGACCCCAAATGCACCCTGCAGCCTGGAGTCTTCCCTGAAGTCCAGTCTGCCTCTAACAGACATGTCAAACTGAACAGCTTCAACCACCCTCCTGGTGCTCCTCGAACGGGCCCCCACAGTCTTCTTATCTTAGGAGTGGCGGCCCTACCCTCTCACTGTTCTGGTCAAGTCTTGATTCTTTTCCTGAGTCACATCCCTCTTCCACTGTTTCAGCAAAATGAGGAGGCTCCACCTCCAGCCAGGTCCAGAATTTGACCCCTTCTCCGGTGCTCCATCCACCACCTGGTGCAACCACTGCCACTCTCTGTCACCCAGGGTTGTTGTATTTGCTGTGTAACGACTCTTGCTAGCACCTGGCCACACTCGCCAACACCTGAGCAGCTTTCTCTGTGCTGGGCAAGCAGCTTTCTCTGAGCTGGGCACTGTTCTAATGCTTTCCATGGAAGAACCCATGGGATCTTTACATCACGGTAGATCCTGTTATTACACTCATTTTACAGCTGAGGAAACTGAAGCACAGAGGTGTTCACTGACTGGCCCAAGGTCACACGGCTAGGAGCCTCCTAACTGGTCCCTTCCCCTTTGGCCCTTGAAGCCTTTTTTAATACTGTAGCCAGTGTGACCCGGTGTTACTCCTCCTCTGCTCATCCTTCACCCCGGGTGACGGCCTGGCATGACCTGCCCCTGCCCACCTCACTTCCACCCACTGACCTCCTGACCTGTTTCCTACCTGTCCTTGCTCACACCCTCTGCTTTGTCCCCTGCTGTCCTCAGCAGTCTGCCCAGACACCAGTGGAGCTTACCCCAGCATCCCTGCCCAGCAAGCCTGCCCAGCACGGCTTTTCTAAGCATCCTGAAAAGCAGCATCCACCCAACTCCCCTTCCTATCTGCCCCGCTTCATTTTCTCCCGTGTCGGACGCGTGCAGTGCAGTGACTCGTGCAAGCAGATCTGTATGTGCCTGAGTCACCAGCACGCAGCGGTGTGTCCCCAGCACGGGAGTGGAACAATGAACAGAACGGGGCACTGCCGACGCCCCGTGGTGTTTGCGGCCCTTAACCTGCAGCCCGGCCTGAGATAATGTGCAGCCTCGCTAAGGACGCAGGCGCCGCCTCGCGGACGACACAGATGAATGCTTTTACATACAGAACGGGGCACAGCAGCCTTGGGGGGGACCCATTAGCGGTGCATGTGCGACGCCTGGCCCATCTGGGTGGGAGTCAAAGGCTTCCCCGCTAACCAGGCAGAGAAGGGGGAAAGTCGTTTCGCGAATGAGTACATCATGAGCAAAAGCAAAAGGGCCCAAAAGGGCCCAAAAGGGCGAGGATGCGAAGCCAGGGTTCCGACGGTTCCAGCAAAGGAGACTACACTTTCCAGAGGCCTCAGCGCGCCTCGGAGCGGCCGCAGACGACGCGGTCGGCGCGTGTCATTCTGGGACTTGTAGTCCGGGAGCAGAGCGTTTCAGCTGGTCTCGGGATGAGGGGCAGGGCCGGGGGCGGAGCTGTAGGTCGTTTGTTCTTTCAGCAAGTATTTCTCCACAGCTTGTGCCACGCTGTTCTATGCCTGCGGCGCCTCATAAATAAAACAGACGAAAACCCCTTCCTCCGCGGAACTCGCATTGCAGCACAAGGAGGGGCGGGGGGGACAGGTGCTATAGAGAAAATAAAGCAAGGCGGGGGCACTTTTAGACAGTGGCGTCACTAGGGTTAGTGTCACTCGATGCGTTACTCATAGTGTTACCCCTCCCATAGATGTCCTCCCATATCAGACCATACAGAATCCTTAGTAACGTTTTTTGTACTAGTGTTACTCGTAATCCTGTATATCATTCCTTTTCCTTTAATTACTACTTTATTCCCAAAAAACTTACGATATAGGTTCACAAATACTAATTACCACAATATTGTAGCTAAAAACACCAGAAAATTTTACAAAATCAGAGACTATAAGAACACCAGCAGCAAGGAAAACAACAAGGCATGCTCGGAGTGAATGCAGAGGAAACCACGGGATTCGAAGCATCATTGTATTTGGGTAATAATGACAGCACTGACGGAGCACCTTAAAACCAAAAACCAAACCTATTGCTGTTGAGTCCATTCCGACTCAGAGACCCTAAAGGACAGAGTAGAACTGCCCCCATAGCGTTTCCAAGGAGGGCCTGGTGGATTCGAACTGCCGACCTTTTGGTTAAGCAGCCATAACTCTTAACCACTACACCACCAGGGTTAAGGTTTAAAAAGTAAATGAGCATAGTTTTAGCCTTGTAGGTATATTGATACACGTACAAGCTGGGCTTATGAAAAATGTTTTTGTTGTTATAACTAAGTACAGGGATATTTTTGTAAAAAATAATAAATTTCTGTTGAAACACTGCACAAAAATTTTATAGAAAGTTATTTTGGTGTCACCCCCTCTGACAGTGTCAGCCGGTGTGGTACGCACCCCCCTAGAGATGCCACCGGGTCCCGTGGCTTAGCTGGGGCACAGAGGGAAAAGCCCCCCAGATGGCAGGATCACCGGTAACCCAGCCATGAATGGTGCTTCTGTCCATGCCCCATGCAGTTTCTGGAAGAGATCCCAGGGAAAAGGCCCTCCCCAAACCCCTCCCTTGACTCTTAAGGGTGGGCTGGGTAGCGGTCTGTGTGAAAGGAGGGTCTGCAGCGACAACTGGGGCCCATGCATGTTGGAGTTTGTGTGTGTGTGTATTACCACAGATGGGGCAGTGTCCGTGGTGGCCAGGGTCCTCATTCTGGAGGTTGAGTCTCTGCATGGGGCCCAGGTGGAGGGAGTGCCTGTGGGTGACCTCATGTGAGGCAAGAGTGTCAGGGAAGCCCCAGGAGCATGACTTCCTGTCCAGAGAAGGTTGGAGGGCAGATGGCAGGAGTCCTGGGTCATCTCCAGAGGCCAACTTCCCACCTGTTCAAGAGGACTTGCCCTGCCTACCCTGGACCCTAAAGCCGACAGAGCCGCCTCCTGCTCACCTGCAGGGGAGAGGTGAGGTGGGGTGCTCAGGTGGGACACGGCCCTACAGCCCCTGCACACCCCGTAAGGGGGACCTGCTAGGACTCCCAGGGAGACAGAGGTGGGTGCGTGGGGGCTTGGTAATAAGAACCCCCTCTCACTGAGTCGTGACCCACCTGAAAAGGAGATGGAATCATCACAGTTCAGAATTCCTGCCTTTGAAAGGTGACCTGGCTGGAGAAAATGTGTGTGTGGGGTGACAGAGGGTCCAGTGTGGACACACTGGGCCCGCATGTAGGTTGCTGAGTGTCCCCCAACAGCGGATGCGCGCTGGTGCGCGGGACAGAGACGAAAAGCTGCCTGTTGCCCATGGCCAAGCCGTCCTCAGCGCTCTTATCTCGGGCAGCCTGGAGGCAGAAGGGGCCGTGGCCCCTACAGAGGGGCCGCAGGAGCACAGCTGAGCTCGGGTCTGCGGGTGGTCTCAGTGTGGGACTTGTTCCTTCAACAGAGGCTACCCTGACCCACACCAGGCCTGGCTCTGCCCCTCAGGGCCCAAGTCTCCGACCAGACCAGCGACCAGCCTTTGCCAGGCCATTAGCACCCTGGAGCTTCTTCACGAGGCAAGCGGGCTGTTAGGAGGAGGAGGTGAGATATGGGACTGGGTTGGGCATGGACAGTCCCACCTCCTAGTTCACACAGGCTCTGGAAATGGATTGATCTCCTGACAGCCCTTTGGCCAGGGTGCCATCTGCTCTCAACAAAAGCCAGATTGAAGCCCACCCCACCTGGACCCCACCATAGCCCCATGTCCCTCCCCCACTGGAGGTCTCCATTGCTCACCCTCTCCTATGGCCCTCCAACAACTTGCCTTCCGTCCTCTGCTCTGGGCCCCCCAGCACCCCCAGGTCCTAGCCCTGCCATCTGCCCTCCTTCCCCCAAAACCTTCTTTTGCTTTCTCTCTGAACAGTCCTCCCTGAAGTGAGACTTGAGGCTAGGGGAGGGATCCCTCGTGCCCAGGGCAGGAAGAGCAGGAAGAGAGGGCTATGATGTCCCCCAGCCTGCGCTCTGGGTAAAAAGCCATCGGTTCAGTAGCTATTCCACTGCCAGTTAAGCAGGGTGCTAATTGCTGGTTAATGCTGTGCCTGCAGAAGCTCCAGCAGCCAGCACACAAGCTGAGGGGAACTAAAGCTGGAGATGAGGAGGGGCTTTCCACTGGGGGGAGTGGTGACCAGTTGGGCTA